ACAAAAGCGACATGAGTGTCTTGGCCCTACCAGACCCCTAACAGCTGAAAACAGATCAAGACTAGCGAGGTAAAACGTCCCGTGTGCATGATCCAGAAGTAACCTAGACATGGGGAGCCCTGAGGGGAGCAAGAAATATTCTGCGGTGTCAAGAATAAACCGGTCGAAAGTCCTGGTAATTGAGACTAAGTTAACCTAAGCTTTTTCATCACTCGCCATAAGTTTTCCCGTCCCCTCCTGGGGGTCTACAACCGACAGCCATGGAGGAATCGACACCTTGCGTGGCAACAAGCCGCTGCCAGGGTTAGACCAGATCCATCATGCACGGCAATAAAGAGATCCCGCCCCTTTCAAATAAACGGCGTGTGCTAGGTTCAATTCTCGCATCTTTTGGGTGTTCGTAATTTGACGATTTCAAGATGGCGGCTTCCATGACAGGAGAGCAGATTCAAGCTCTCGCTGACGCACTTGAACCTCTGACGCCGAAAAACCTTGGACCAGCTGTTCAAGGCTTCGCAATCGCCTTCGGAGTTATAAGCGTCATCGTCGTGTGTCTCAGGATTTACGTGCGCGCCGGTCTATCTGGCGTATCGCCTCGCCTTCTTGGGTTCGAAGATTACCTAGCTGTTCTTGCGACAGTGAGTCGCCCTCTTTTTCTGATTCACCTGAAATTGACTAACTCGATCAAAGATACTCTTAATACCAGCCGTCGTCTTCGCTATCCTTGCAGCGCGCTATGGAGTCGGTTCTCGCGATGCGAATATTCCGAACCAGATGTACCTTATTCGCGCCGTGGAGTACCAAACCTACTGGGAGCTTTTATACTTTGTTTCATCGACTATTATTAAGTGCGCAATCGGGTTTACATGTATACGCCTCGATCGTCGGAAGCGAGTTGTTTTCCCGATATGCGTCAACATGTCCATCATGGTCATCGTTACCGTTCTGGCGTTGGCATTCGTGTTCGCCAACTGCAAGCCTTTTAATGCGACATGGAATCCAGCTTTGTGGGTTACAATCCCCTGAGCCACCGTCAATGTTTTATTAGCTAATGGGAGTGTTAGAGGAACGTGCCAGAAGGTTATCAGCTTGCAGACCGTGAGCTATATCGTTTCGGCAATCCAGATGGCGACTGATTGGGCGTGTGCCATCATTCCGTTCTTTATTGTAGCAGGACTACAAATGTCTCGACGAAGAAAGATATCCGTCATCGCTATTCTGGGTCTCGGTGTCTCAGCGAGTATTGCAACTTGTATTCGGATGCCCTACCTAAAATACTACGACACGGTGAAATATCCAAATGAGATTGCATGTACGTTCGACCACCTTGATCCCTTCCTTTGATCTATAAATGCATTTGCTAACTTTGCTCTCTAGATCATCTCGGCGTCGTCAGTATCACCTCCAACGTCGAATGCTGTCTCGGCATCATCGCATGTTCTCTGCCCCCGCTGCGGAAATTGTTTAATTTCTATTACGGTTCCTCCAACGAGGCCAACTATCAGTACACAGGCGAAGTAGGTTCCTCAAATCCACTATGTTACACATCAGTATCTGCATGCAGTTGCTAATTGTCGCAGAGCGAGAACATCCTTCAGAATTCCGGTCAGGGCATCAGGCTGGATTCAATCAATGCTGGTCGAAAAGGGACATTCCACGCCTCCGCCCAACGTGTTCCGTCACGGGCTCGAGACCATGAGACAGACGATGATAATTCGAGCAGTAAAGGAATCATAAGGAAGACGGAGGTCAGAGTCAGCTCATCGAGGTTTAACTCGTAACCTGAAATTATTTTGCGCGACCTTCGCTATGAGAACGTATGATGCTGGCCAAAACTGACGTTATACGATATTATCGGCTCAAGTTTAGAGAATTCATAGAAATACGTAAATAGAATAAATGCGAAAATAGAAATTAAGTGTCCCTAGATATCGTTTTGGGCCCAGTGAGTGTCTGAAATGAATACCTAACCCTCAAGGAGCAAGAAAACATCAGACCTTGGTATAGAATGTTAAATTCAACTGAGCAGAGGTATCTTAAACTTATACTAAGTTACACATGTCTTCCTGTCATTTGGGATCAAGGTCCTGGGTTCCTTTCCTCCCCAGGCTGTTGCATTTGACCTGATAGGATTGATTTAGTTACCATCTTAACATGATTGTGCCTGAAATACACCAATATCTGTTAGTACAGTATCTTTATCTAACACTCCTCCAGATCCCCCCAAAATTTGTTTAGCGATCTCCCGCGAATGTTTGCGATTACCAAGCCGGATAATCATTGCATCACACCAATTATACTTATTTCTCTCTGGCATACCAATCAAACATGTCAATACAACGAAGGGAAACCAATGGCAGCCATTGCCGATGATGCTGACGCGGGGTTGAGGATAAGCTTACTGCGCTGACACTGCTGACATCTTTCTCAACGAGTATAAGAACCTCGACAGGTCAATTTTTGCGACCATGCCAGTTCTGCAAAACACTTGTCGCATGATTATAACATCATCAAAATGGCAATCACGGATAAAATCCACCCGATCTACAGCTTCTGGTTCCTCTGGGTCGACCCCATCCTGACTCTTGTCGGGATGTATGGCAACTTTATCGACCACGATCTCGCCATGCAGGCCTTCTTCACAAATTACCCACCAACCGACCACTTCCGCTGTTTCATCTACCAGATCGGCGGCATGGGCACGTCATATCTAATCATCCTCGTCGTACTCCTCCGCTACACGCACGACATCTTCATCTGGAAGACAGTGCAGCTAGCTATCTTGCCAGCTGACTTTACCATGCTCACGGCTATATACATTGGCATGCGTATCTCAGGGAATCTAGCACTTGCGGATTGGCGCTGGGAAGATTGGTTCAGTATTGTAGTCACGGGTATTTGTACAGTTCTCAGAATCGCGTTTGTGCTGAGCGTTGGGGTCAAGGATACGAGGGGCAGAGCCAAGAGGGCCTAGTTCAGCCAAGAAAAGGCACAGCCGGTAGGGCTGAGGGAGATGAGATTTTGGTGGCGGATGGGAATGAGAATGGCTAAATTCGTGTTCGTGGGTTGGGTTAGCAAGCGGGAGTTTGAGGCTCTGCTGGCGCCGCAGACTCACGATGACCTCAAGACACCAGTTCCTGGATCGGAAGAGTTTTCCAGTGTTGTACAGGACCCCACTAATGACTGGATTTTTTCTCTCTGCTACTGTTTCATTCTTCCGCCCTGGCACAAGATATCAGTGTTCTTTTTCTGGTTTGATTACAAGTGGAGACTCGTTAATTCCTAAAGCGGTATAAATCCCAACTCTTTCGCTGCCCAAGCAGGAATTTCACGCGGATCCGCAAGGCCCATGACTCGATTACTCTCCTGGCAATCGAGTGCAAATGTGATCACCACTTTGAGTTCCTGTTAAACGTCTGCCTGATAATCCCTGCCATTGCAAAAATTGGGGTTCTGTTCTGTGGAGGAATTCGGCCCTTTACCCAGAATCGCGGGGGTCATAGCGCCCCCGTGATATCCTCGTTCTACCCAAATCGCGTTGTCTACCACGCGAAGAAGCTACATCTAGGTCCGTATCTTTCCGCGATGTTGGAGATGGTGGAGTTTTTGGAGTCATCTGCTTGGGGCAACGGGCCGACAGTCGAAACGAGCAGAGTCGGTTATCCAAGGTTCTTACCCTGGAGATGGAGACAGAGCGTGGTGAATACATACCTACGTCTCCGCATGGACTTTCGCCATGGGGAAGTGTTAAGGTTGATTTGTGGGTTTGCGGTGCAATTGGATGGGGGACGTTGGGCGCGGTATTTTACAATACGCGACTGCTGTTGATGATGCCGATTCTCCGGTAGCAAATCATAACATCTCACGACAAAAGGTCTAGATCAAGAAATAAAAGTTTAATTGACATTAGTTGTGTTGCATTGCGATGATTCGTAAGCGGCCAATTGGAGCCAAAACATGAGATCCCTTGGTTAGGCCTAGGGTAGCTTTCTCACAGTGAGGCATCGTCATGTTACTACTAATTGACAGACAGCCAAGAGATGCGGCTGAATCATGGCGAGATCGCAAACACTCTAGTGCTCGCTTCAGCGGCCGCTTTCATTCAATCAGCCTAGTCTACCACGAGATCCCATCTTGGCATGGGAATATCAAAGCGTTCGACTTGGCACTGCCTTATGCTTTCCAGGTATCTGCATCTCCGACATCTCGTAACACTTTGGCAGAAAAGTCATGATCATACCACGCTAGGAGTATTTATTCCAGCTTCTTCACGCCAACGTCGGTCCTCTATTACGAAATGGCTGGCTGGTGGAGAGAAACAGGGCGACCGTCAACCCGCTCCCGTGACGTAAAAGGCTTGCCGTAGAACATTTCTAGAAAAGGAACATCATTCATCCGCGGTTAGTCTCATGTCGATCCCTCCCGGGAGTTGCACCAGTCGACATGCCAATGTGACCGCCCACGCGACTCATTGGCCTACCCACCGGACCGACACATTCAATGCGACCCTTTAAAGGCTTCTCGGCAATGATGGATGGTTCGATGAGCCTGTAGGAGAAGAGGATCGTCCGAGTAAGCATCATGTCACTGGTGATAATCGCGCGGTGATCCCGCTCTAAAGTATCCCAATCCCACGTCGCCTGCGTTATCGATACAGGAGACGCGTTATGGGAACTCCACCCCATAATAATCGATCGGCTCAGACGGCATCTTCTGATGGAGAACCAGCGGCGAATTCTTCGGTGCTACCGTCATGGGCACGCTCCGCATTAGCTGCTATTCCCCATAACTTTGTGCCGTTGCATTTTGCGGTGCCCCATGGCGAAACAGACTACTCACATAAAGTCTCCAGACTTGCGGGATTGTGGGTTGCATATAAAAACCTGGGGTTCGCCGCGATAAGCAATTCTTCCCACCAGCCTACCTACAGACAGGTGTCACTGACAACCTTTTCTCTCCCCTCTATATCCTATATACAATTTTTGCTTAGCTCTTACATCATGGGCAAGAGCCGTCAGAACTCGACCACCACGGTCGACCGTGAGAAGGATGAGATCCAGAAAGCTATGGGCCACGAAAAGGCAGAGTTCGAAGCCCTTGAAGTAGCTCGTCATGGCGGTCGTGAGATCGACGAGCTCATCGATGACATGGAGCGCCAGCTCGATGAGTCCGGCGGTCTGAAGAAGGGCTTCTTCCAGGTCCAGTTCGCTAACCCCAAGCACTTCACCTGGCTCCTGGTAGCCTTCGCGTCCATGGGCGGTCTCCTCTCCGGTCTTGACCAGTCTCTCATCAGCGGCGCGAATTTATTCCTGCCTGACGACCTTGGCCTCACTGAGCATGAGAACAGTCTTGTCAACTCTGGCATGCCGCTTGGCGCTGTTGGTGGCGCGCTGCTTTTGTCGCCTGCGAACGAGTACTTTGGCCGAAAGGGCGCTATCATAATCTCTATTATTCTTTACACTATTGGTGCTGCCTTGGAAGCTGGTTCAATCAACTTTGGTAAGTCGTCTGTCTCCGCGCCATTATCCTCACCGTGCTGACTAATCAGGTATGATTGTCTCATCACGTGTCATTCTCGGTCTCGGAGTCGGTCTTGAAGGCGGTACAGTCCCTGTCTACGTCGCTGAGACCGTTGAGCGCCGAATCCGTGGTAACCTCGTCTCTCTGTACCAATTCAACATCGCTCTGGGTGAAGTCCTTGGGTACGCTGTAGGCGCCATCTTTCTCAACGTCCCCGGCAACTGGCGCTACATTCTCGGTTCATCTCTCCTCTTCTCGACCATCATGTTCTTCGGCATGCTCTTCCTCCCCGAGTCTCCCCGTTTCCTCATCCACCAGAAGCGCCACCTCGATGCCTACAAGGTCTGGAAACGCATTCGCGGTATTGAGGACCACGAATCCCGTGAGGAATTCTACGTCATGAGTGCCTCTGTCATTTCGGAGGAGAATGCTGTCGCTGAAGGTGCCAAGAACCATCGCTTCCCTTGGATGGACTTCTTTACTGAGCCCCGTGCTCGTCGCGCTCTTGTCTACGCCAACATCATGATTCTTCTTGGCCAGCTCACTGGTGTCAATGCTATCATGTACTACATGTCTGTTCTCATGAACCAGATTGGCTTTGACAAGAAGGAATCTAACTACATGTCCCTTGTTGGTGGTGGATCTCTTCTCCTCGGTACTATCCCCGCCATCTTCCTTATGGAGAGGTTCGGTCGACGCTTCTGGGCTATCACTATGTTGCCTGGATTCTTTATCGGACTGGTCTTGATTGGTGTCAGTTATCAGTTCGATGTCAAGACTCAGCTTCAGACTGTTGAGGGTCTTTACCTCTCCGGCCTCATCATCTACATGGGCTTCTTCGGTTCCTACGCTTGTCTGACCTGGGTTGTTCCCTCTGAGGTCTACCCAACCTACCTTCGAAGTTACGGAATGACTACATCTGATGCTCTTCTCTTCCTCGCCTCTTTCGTCGTCACATACAACTTCACTGCCATGCAAAACGCCATGGGCAGGACTGGCCTTGCTCTGGGCTTCTATGGTGGTATTGCGTTCGTTGGTGAGATCTACCAGATCTTCTTCATGCCCGAGACCAAGAACAAGACTCTGGAAGAGATTGATGTTGTCTTCTCTAGACCTACCATGGATATTGTTAGGGAGAACTGGGCTGGTGTTAAGGAGACTACTCACCTCCTCCTCACTGGACATTGGCACAAGGTCTTTGTCGAGCAGGCCATGACTGATCCCAAGGATCAGGTCCAGGTCTCTCATGCTTAGATGATTACTATGACATTGGTGAATAGGTCTGCTTATTTAACGTTGATGATACCAAGAGTAAATAGTTACTATTAATGACAAAACTCGTTTCAAATAATTATGCTGTTGTTCCTTTTGAGTGACACTTAAACCCTGAGACGAGCGACAGTTCAATGTCATGCCAAGCCATGCAATCGAATTGCTTGAAGTATTCTAAACTTGTACAGGTATTAACCAAATTAAATTATGATCTCTCTAAATTATGTTGACCTCTCTAAGTGTGTCTGTCTTTAGCGATAGAAATCATCCTTTTTAGCCTGCGTGCGTATCCCGACCCCGAACCCATCACCTCTAAATAATCACTTTAGCTTTCCTCTCCATCATACCGATTGACGCCACGATTCTGTAGTTGCGCCTGGAACAGACTCTGTGGTTCAACCCGTTTCCCCGTCTCTAGCAAGGTAGCATTGCCCTTTGGTTCGTTACCGTTTTCTCCGCACCCAATGCACCAATTGATGCCGGTAGGCGGGGATTCAAACTCACAATATCCATCAATGTTCCAGCCAACACCGCCATTGATGGACCAACCTTGCCCCGTACCCTTGATATTGCGGTTCACAAAATACGTCGCGACCGAGGTATCTTCTACCAGTAAACCCTGAGCCCATCTCTGATGAGGATATATAGTCTGAGAATCAGACTGGGTCTTGTGACGAAGAACAGCATTCGGGCCAGGTGTTAGTGATCCCGTGGCGACGGAGAAGCATCGCGCAGACGAAATGCCAACCTGCTCGCAGTCTTGAACAAGAACTTGTGAACCTTGGATCATGATGTCAAAAGGGAGAGCGCTCCCCGAGATATCTTTATCTCGGTTCATGGTAGTGTTCTGGATGGTGATGCGAGAGGCGTCCTGGTCAATCTGGAAGAACTTGTTGAAGCCCTTGAGAGTGAGACCACTAGCCCAGCTGTCAACTGTCCAAGATGGGAAGCGAACGGCAGCAGAGTTGCACGTCTTATCAGTGAGAGGGGCTCCAGAGCAAGTGTCAGGTACCTCTATGGAGAGGTCCCGAATGCCCATCTCGCTGTTGGATTCAGGAGGGGTATAGACAATGAGCTCTGGCTGCAGATAGTCAAGCTCAATGTTGTCTGTCAAGGGTATCTTGAGGGTGATATTGTTGCCATAGACACCGCTTATCTGATTTGGCGTCATGAACCTTTTATTCTCCTACATGAGATTAGTACATACACAGCTACAAGCGAGGAGGACTACATACCGGTATCCAGGTTTGGGATGCACCGTCTCGCACCAGGTTGCTCATGCCATTGGCCTCTATCCAAGACTCTGTGGCTATTCTAGAGACATAGACTAGCTGGTCAACCGCGAAACCACTGCTGTTAACGACCTCAACCGAGGACGAGCCGATGGGAACGTAATCATTGGTAATATTTGACCTGAACCCATATTTGGGCTTGACAGTATTGCTAGAACCAAGCGTGAAAACAGGTACAGACGGTTTCTCACTCAGTGACAGGACGGTCTTACCACCAGCAGACCCGGTGACGACAACATTGCCGGAGAGGTTCAGGCCTGCAGTCATAGACCATTTACCAGCAGGCAGGATGACAGAGCCACCACCTGAGGAAGCAATACTATCAATAGCAGCTTGTATCGCCGGCCTCACATCGACACTATTATTAAAAGACACAGTGATGTTGGGGGCGGCGATGTTGGGCAGTATGATAGCAGAGTTATGATACCCAGCAAAGCTAAAGTCAGGGATGACATCCCCACGAGAACTCATGACTGTTGTCCAATCAAACGCATGGTGCTTTTTCTTAGCCAGCGTGAAGTAGGTAGCACACGTAACGGTGACGGTGACGATGATGAAAATGGCAACGACGGAGATAATGGTCCAGCGAGAGAAACACTGTCGAGGAAGAGGCATTGGGTAAATTCCAAAAAGGGTAATAATTCAGGTGGGGGAGTAGCAGCGCTGCTACTTATGTCGGAGCGAGGGGTTATATAAACTGTGAAAGGCATGGGGCAGCATTCGGCAAAGTGTGGCTGGAATGAAAAGTGACATCTAGAACCCACTGATTAACTTTAACAGTCAAGCATAATCGTCATCACTGGTTGGTTAGTCTCCCCTTGGAAAAAGTATATCATAAGTTGCGTCATTATTGATAGTTATTGGATCACTGTTTATGCTGCCCAAAAGTGTGAAAGAAATAAGATGCTAGATGTGGTATATCGGCGAGATCTATCTGGCGCAGATACCGATTGAGTTTATTTAACTGAATCGCCATCGGAATTCAAGCAGATCAGACACTACGGATATATTCTTACACTTATGTGAGGGGTCTCACTTGGTCCTGCGTTAGTGTCGTGACTGGAATGCATGGCGTCGGGAGGCGACCTTTGTACCGCGGGACGGGCTGTAGCGGTAATGTCACTGTGTCTTGATATGGAGGTTGATTTGATAAAAGGAAAATCCTGCTTCATGGTAAGCCAACGGTTAGTGACAATCACCGTTGTGTAATGGGGGAACGGGGATAGTGAGACACGCGGCAAACCGCAAACGTGGGATCTCGGCGAACTCAGTCCACGCGACCCCGAACACCACTTAGAATTGAGTTAAGTAAATCAACGGTTTTAGCAAGGTTGCCAAGGGAACTGGATTTCTGTATTCAGAATATTGAAAGATGTCCAAGCTTCTGCCGAGGCTTACCTAATTAGACACTGTATGGAGTCATGACACATACCCAGAAGGCGAAAAACGGTTGCATCAAGCACTATCATGACCGATTGAGTCTGGTAAATTCATGATGCCATTAAATATTATGCTAATTAACATTTGGGTCTAGTGGTCTATAGCTAGTAATCTATACACTAGCGAGGGGGGGAAAGAAAACTCAGGACCTTGATCCTAAATGACAAAAAGACTTAGGTAAATTCACATATATTTAGGATATCTTTACTAAGTTCAGGATATATTTTACTGAGTTTATTTTGACACCCTACATTAATGTCTGGTGTTTTCTTGCTCCCCGAGGACTAGCATTCTACATCTCCTCGCTCGTCCTTGAGGCGACAACGCTCTGGCTTGGCTATTGCCTCATCATCTAGCAAACTTTTCAACAACAAAGGCGCTTCTCCCTTTTCGGCCGCAGATAAATCATCAGCTTCAACTTCAAACAGTTTCGCCTCTTCATCCGTTATCTCCACTTGAGGAGGAACGGGGCCAGAAGATGCCGTGACTCCAGACACACCCCAGACTTGACTTCCCAGATTGGTGGCAACCTTGGTGAAGATGATGACACTCATGACTGGTGATACACACTTGTTGATCAAGTATCCAATCGCAAGTTTGTGCCCTCGTTTTCGTAGCTCGGGTTCAAGGAGGATTGAACAGAGGAACCAGAGAGAGGGCAATTGGCCAACCACCAACATAGGTACAAGCTTGATAGCAGAGACATGACGAACACAGCTTGCGATGAACAAGGCAGTGTTGAGAATGCGGTAGTATACCAAGCTCAGACGGATGACTTCAACAGAGGCAGCAATGCGAGTCATGGTGATCATCTTTTCGCCAGCCAAATAGAAGTAATTGTTGAAGTAGGCATTGGAGCCCCATCGACGTCTTTGGCTTAGGTAGTGGAACAGTGACTGGGGAGCAACTGTTTCGCTGACGGCATCAGGGACGAACAGGGTGCGTAGATGTTCGCCCTGAGACAGCATTGAGTAAGTTAGTCGCCTGTCAGTGCCCTAGAGAATTTAAGTTAGCCTTGTGGGGAGACTACGGGAAGTGGGAGGCAAAGAATTTTTTGGGGGGCGGGGCTAGGGGAGGAAAGAAAACTCAGGGGCCTCAATCCTAAATGACAAAAAGATTTAGGTAATATAGCCTAAGCTTAGGATAACCTTTGCTAAGTTTATTTTGACACCCTGAAGTAAGGTTTCCTGTTTTCTTGCCCCCTGAGGGAGGGCTAGGAGAATTTGGGGGGGGGGGGGGTTGCAGTCCACTTACAAGGTATTGAACTTGGTGGTTAATGACTAGTTCACCGGTAACAGGTTCGGCGTATTTCCGAATAGCTCCGGCCATTTCTGGTCTCACTGCGATCATGGTGATGCAACCAGGTAAACAAGTGACTTTTCCAATGAACCCTTCGGCTCGCCGTCTGACATACTGTCCAAACGTGTACTGAAGAATGTTAGACAGAGTTGTAGATGAATAGGTGGACATACCTGAAACTGTTGATAAAGATTCCAAAAAGACCATTCATATCCAGGTTCAAGCTCAACCAGGACAAGTCCACAAGCAGCAATGGCCTTGTCATCACGAGCAAGAGCATTGGCCAGAAGAGCGACAGCGCCCTTGTAGATAGTAGAGTCGGCATCAGTGCAGAAAACCATATCAAAGCCCTTGAAGTCCTCGCCCTTGGTCAACTCAGGGAGAATCTCGTCCCACATCTCCTTTCGTAGAAGCTTTGTGTACAGAGGAGAATTCTCACGAGGAAAGTTAAAGAGGTCGTGGCAGAGGATGAGGGAATCCTTCTTGCCAGCGTTCTTGACCTTTTCGATGACAATGACAGGGACATCTTCCATAAAACCGGCGAGGACGTTCAAAACACCCTTCTTCCATTTGAGGGAGACGTAAGGGCGTTGGAACTCGCGGACCATTCTCGTCATGTGTGATCGAACATCTCGAGGCTTGCCATCGAGGATGACGACCATGACTTGCTTGTGAGGCTCAACACCATTATCTCGAAGAGAGAAGATAGTCTTGACGATCTGCTCCTCACTCTCGGAGTAGGCAGGGATGAGAGACAAGATCCATTTTCGGCTGACAGGCTTTGGTGGGTACAACTTGTCATGGATAGCACGATACATCATCCCAGTGGGTGACAGGATCGCAGATAAGAAATCCTTGCTCTTGACGAACAAGATGACGATGAAGATCAACTTGCTCTTCCTACCAAGGAAGGCAGTGATCGCCATGCAGATGTTGATAATGACGATGATT